GGAGAGGAATATAAATATAGTTTTTAATATTATAAGATGTAAAAGAAAGAAATTCCAGGCTGAGTTTGCCAGTCTTGGAATGTCCACTATTGTTAGGTATTAAATTAAGAGCTCTAGACTAAGATGGTCCATATAGCAATTTACAATTTGAATAATTTTAAGAAACAACATTTTTCATGAGATCTGTATTTTCTTCAGTTCAGGCAGTTCTCTTTTCTGCTTAATATCTTCTACCTCTTTGTTTTGCCAACAATACTTCTAAACTGATCGAAAGAATAACCCGAATGGTGCCTTTTAATCTAAAAGAAAGGTTTGGACACTATTGTGTCTATGGAGAGTCATCAATTGAATATATACATTTTTATCTAGCACTAATGTTAGTACCAAAAAAGGCAAAGATGAAATAAGATATCTTGGGTTTGTCAAAACTAGCAACAAATACTAATATCTCATGTTAATTCCTGTATTTGATGTAGATATGAATTGATGTTGCTTTTAATCACATCTTTCTTAGATTTTCCATTCTTAATTCTCAGTGGCAGTGATCCACAGCTTCAGTTTGGAAACTCTCACTAATAGGATTTGAAATTTTGTCTTCTTGCTCAATTTAGTAGGTCATGGAGAAAAAAAACATACTACTGAAATGCAAGATGAGAACATTCATGCATAGAGATCATTTGGAAGACTTGTGAGAAAATGACATAAGGATAATAGTTTCAAGGAACAAGTCAATCTTCTCTACTGCAGGCTCCAGAATTCACTTCAGAAGGCTTTTCATGTAACTTCTTTCTCTTGACTGATTGCTTTGGAAAAACAGAGATCTGTCTAGGAAGCATTCCTAAGCCTACAGGTACCTGAAAGTAGGTGGCACAAACCTAGGTCTATTTTCCAAAATAAAAATACTCTCTAGATGATCTCTTGGTTGGTGCTGAATACTCTTCCTCTACACATTCATTTTTAATATTTATCAGCAGTGTGGCAATGAATGCTTTTCCACAGAAGCATTGTCCCTGGAAATCTATGTATTAGAAAAAGCTTTGCTACAAGAGGAAAATTCTTGACATCATGACATACTCTTACTTAAGCCAAGGAAATGTTCCAAACACTGAGAGGACAAAACAATGAAAAAGCTCTAGGATTTTACATTTTATTTAGAAAATTATTTTAACATTACCTAAAGAGCAATTGTGACTAGATGTCTTCAAGAAGAGAAGTCTGTCTCCTTCAGCTGTCACATTCATGACCATACATCAAGATGCCTATACAGGCAGAGATGCTGGACATCACAGAGAAATCTGCAAAGGTCTGGACTGCTTCAGAGCTTCAAACACTGGCTTCGAACATGTGAGAGGTTTGAGATAGCTTTTGAAATGACAACATTAACTAAACAGAAGAAGACATAGACGATAACATAGATGAAAATAATTAGCGTGGACTGATGCAAAATAGATCTGCTTTCTGCTAGTGTGAGATGGAGATGGAGAAAATATTGTTTGGATGGTACTCAGAAGCATATAAATACATTAGTAATCTCTGTACTACATTGTAATTTGAGTAGCAGCCTGGCTCCCAGTAAAGTCAGCAGAGAAATAGAGATTTTCAGTGAATGCAGCACTGTTTAACATTTAAAGACTAGTTCAAGCTATCATAAGAATCCAAATGATTTCAAATCAGCTGCAGCATGCCCAAGTATTTTCAGCACTGCCACAAGGGGACAAAGGTTTAACCTGAAAAGCATGTAATCAGATATGTAAAAAGATACTATAAATACAATTTTAGGCTGAGAAATCTTAAAGCAGATTGTCTTGGTTCACACTGTAAGAATCTAATGATTGACAAAAAAAAACCTGGAATAAACAATAGGTGTTTCTGGCTTAGCTGTGCCCTAAGTTTTGACATCAAATATGGAAGAAGAAAATTGGGAACATGAAAATACAAGAGTTGCATTAAAGCAAATACCAATATATAGTATTATAGTATAAAGTAAATACCAATAAATAAATACTGAGAGGAAGTAATAGCCTGAGACAGGCTTTAAAAGGTAATGGGATGGATCTAGTTTCCAGAAAAAAAGACCACCACAGAATGCATACCTCAAATGAAAAACAGTATTTTAACAGCCATAGTCTCTGCTTAAGAAAAGTTCATTTTGCCCCAAAATATCTGTATGAAATAAAATCTTAAGGAATAGCATCTACTGAAGAGATTTGATAATTAATTCATCAAAGATGTCCTGAAACAGCTGGAACTGTCAATTTGTGACAATAACTTTGCATCCAGGTGCTTTATTGCTTTCCCTCAATAGCATCATCTGAATTTATTAGGAGAGATAACATGTTAAATAGGAAAAAAAAAATCTAAAATGATATAAAACTCTTGGGGAAAATTGACTAGTATTTTCATTTGGAAAATAAAATAAAAATGACTGAAGGCATAAAAATCACTGCAAATATTGTGAAATCAGTATGTGCAGAAACTCAGAATTCTAATCATGTTTGTTATAAGAGCCTATGCCTGATGTTACAGAACCACATTCATTTTCAAGAATGATGTGAGACTGCAGGCTGCCAAAGCCAGCTACCTATGTCTTTTTTTCTTTTCCCATCCTCCTCCCCACTTAATTAACTCTTTAGCTTTACTTAAACATTTAGAGGGAAGTCACAGGAAGGTTAGGCTTACTTTCTGGTTCTTCAGGCAGGTAGATCTTCCATGTTGTAGATAGCTGTGTTTATCTCATCTAGGCAATGCCTGGCACTCTTTCTCAAGCTCTTGCAGATTTTTGCATAAAACAAGTTCTCAAGATGAAGGCTAGAAATATGCATAAGTCTGCAAAGAGAATTTGGCTTTTCCATAAGGTTAAATGGAAGGTGAATTTTGCCAGGGTTCAAAAATCACTGAGAAGAAATCAAAGTGAGTAAGTTTTTATAAGGCAGATTCCAAGACTCATCTTAGTGAGGCAGATGGCAGAATTCCTCTGAAGCCTACAGCTACAGAAATTATTATTTCTACTGTTAAAAATAAGACCTAGTGAAAGAATTACAGTAAGGTTTGCAGATATAAAAGAACACTTGGATATGAATTCAGCATTAAAGTTAGCATGCACTAGTTCATACACTTCTGACATTTAGGCAAGTATTTGCACTTAATTTTGGATGAAATGAACTAAAACCCTTTCTGAAGACTGCAGCTTGCTATTTATTTTCTTACATTTCTTATGGCATGGGAAAAACCCAAGAATTTTAATTTGCAATATTTCTAACTCAATTGAGAGCAAGAACCAATTAAAAACTCGCAAATGGTTTCCCATGAACTTTTGGACTGAAGTGTTGGATAAATTTAGATTCTTGAAAAAAAAAAAGAAAATTGACTTCAAAATGTTCTGACCAAGTTTTTTAGAAATGGATGCTTCGTCTATATCCAGAAAACACTGAAGAAAATTCTACAGTTCTACATTTCAAAAGTTCTGTGGATCCACGTATCTGCAACAAATCAACATAGGAAGATGTACTTCAGTTCCCTTTAGATCAGACAATCCTATTACAGGTTTACTGCTGAGGCTACATACATCTTTTTTTTTTCTCCTCTTTATGATCAGATAGACATAAGCTGTTTATGGAATTGGTAGAAACGTATGCAATATGGTTTTAAGACTGTAAAGTTTGATGTAATTGGTGAAAATCTGGTTTCAGAATTTGTAGAAGCAAGGTTAGAGCTACTGTGAAATTTATAGAGCTTTTAAAAGATAAAGTCGTTTTTCAAGATGTTAGTACTCAATACTGATGACTTTCTTCAGGATTTCTGATGGTATACCTGCCATCTGACCCCCACAGCATTAAGGAAATAGAAGAGAAAATCACTAAGGATGACTGATTCAGTCGGACTGATTATCTGCAATATGGAAGGTACCTGTATTATATAGAAATTACTGCTGTCTGATTAACAGTGCTTGAGCAATAAGAGTCATTGCTTTACATGTTACAAGATGATGAATTGGACCTGCTCAACATCACAGCAGATACTGCCTGTAATCTCTGTACTCATTATTAAGTATCCCCTACTGTAGGAGACCTGCTGCAGAAAACCTGCTATATACCTACTTGTCCATTATAGATGTCTTAGTTTAGAAAACAATGCAAAACTGCTTTTTACTGTAAAGCCTGTAACTATAAACACTTTTGGGATTAAATCTTAGTCCACTGACACAGGCTGATCTAGTTTATGTCAAAGGCATATAGAATCAGGCAGTATAATTTTGTATTGCTTCGAGTTTTCTTTTTGACAACAAATACAATTCCTTGTATTAGGCTAATCACTGAGTTTTCTCTCCTATACTGCATTTAGAGGAAGAAAAAAATTTTTGAAGTATAAGAGACACTCCTCATTTAATATTTTCCTTTCACATTTGATTTAGTAATTAATCAGTGCTATACTCCAGAGTCTACAGACTATCACGACCACTTAGATTAGACAATTCTCATTTTTCCTGAAGCAGTCAGTCCAGGAAACTGAATTTACATAAACAATACTAAGATTTTATATATAAAATATACACATAAAATCTTTTTATGTGCAAGTTCATAAATTCTGAGTTTCATGAAAGCAGACACTTGAGATAAGTTAACAAGCTGTAACAATCCTATACAAAGGCAACTTTGCTGGCTGAAAAAACAGCTAGCATTCTAACATAACTACTGAAGTACTACAGCACAATTCTGCTACTGGACGCTTCAGCTTATACTGGATAAATGAAGTGTGATTTTTTCCATATGGAATATCTAGCTTTGGGGTCTATACTCAGAATGAAGTTGAAATATGAGAGCTACAGTGCTACATACATTGCTAATACTACATATATTCTACAAAAATATCTTCTTACCAATAATTTATTCATAATTTACCCTACGTTACTGCTTCCTTAAAGATAAACAAGATCAAATATCAACTATAAAAAAACCAAACAACCTTAAAGGAGAAGTAGCAGGAAGAATTATATAAGATCATTTGTGAGCCAGAAGGTGTTCTTTGTTGCATTTCCCATCTGCAAAACAAATTCCTATAGGAATCAATAGACATCATAAGCCTATATCTTTTTCTGGCAGGTACTATTCATGCATTTTATTTAACAAACTTCTAGAAGTGCTTAAATTCTTCAAAGATGAGGGCAATATAGGAGAAGTTATTAGAGAAGTTGAACTGCTTAGCTGATACTGAGCTGTTTGAAAGAAAGATATTTGTATGTTTAACAATGACAAACACTGGGGACTAGACATAAACTAGTTACTAAGAAAAACTGCAATGCTAGAAGTACTTTTAATATCAAGTAAATTCCTATGCCATACCTGCAAAAAATATCTGCATGTTTAGCAAAAGTGAAGAATTCCAACTCACATAACTTGATATAGATTTCAGGATATTTATTACAGAAAGAGACATATCTAGTTTTAAAATATTTGTAACTTTTCCCTCATTTGAAAAATAAAAGTATATAGCATGACAGAATTGAAACTAGACACAAATGGGAGTAAATTTCATACAGCAACATGACTCAAAAGTGAAACTTCACCATAAACTGACCATCACCTAATATTTATTAAAGAAATAAGTTTAAGGGAAAGCTAAGGCCATTAAATGCATTTCAATGTTATGCTGGAATAGTCTTGATCAAGAACCTCATTTAGCTAAAATCTGAAAAGTTAAAATACATGTTTCAGTGTAAATTTATTGTTGCTTCAACATTTTCTTCTATATAGATTTAGTCATTACTTATGGCAACATAATTGGCTGGAAAGATGCCAGTTTGTCCTCCTATTCTTCCTTCCCACCAATCAAACTGTGAACCTGTTTTGGTTGTGACTATGATTTTGTCTCCAGCTTTGAAAGTCAAGTCACCTGGCTGCTGTCCTTCAAATGAATAAAGTGCTGTTACTTCTACTGGATGGCTTGTCGAGTTACCTGCAGTGAAAGAAATGAAATCAAATAAAAATTAATAAATTGCACAGACAGTAAATCCTCGAATAAAATATTTGTAAAAGGCAGTAGAAAACAATAACAAAGATATCAGAATAATTTATCTAAAATGTATAAACTGCAAATGAAAAAAACCCTTGGTTACCCCTTTTCCTACTAAGGGAAAATTGGATTCCAGCCTATCAGCACAACTTAGTCCATAAAATAGCACTATGCACTAAATAAAGATCAGCAGTTTTCTCTGTATGATTCATACAGAGAAAAGAGAGCTTGGGAACAAAAGTTTGTGTTGGAGAAAGTTCAAATAATTCCTGAAAAAGTGCTCAACATAACAACTTCAGGTTTTTGTTTAGTTTTAGTATGCATTCCCTGTGACAGTTTCTTGGCAAAAAGTGCAAACTTAAAGCAGGGGCTTTAATTTTTTAATCAATATTCAGGATACAGAAAAGTAAAATTCAAAATATTCACTGCACATCTCTTCTCCTTCCACTGGGTTTATAGTATGTAGTATTTTAGTATAACTAATATGTTGTAAAAAAACCACAAAATATGGTAACAGAAAGAATGGATTATTGCTTGATGTCCTGGAAGTGACTTGGCTTGCACAGCGGTATTTTAGACCAGTTATACAAATGGTTTTTATTCTCCTGTAACTCCTTCAGTTCTTGGCGTTGGAATCATGTCATGAAACTTCTGATCTAATTTGGAAGTCATCTATCATTATCCACTCTCCATTCATTTCAAAATTTTTAGGCAATTTCTCAACATTTCATACTATTGAACCTGTAGTATAAGTAAACATCTTCAATTTGGTAATAATTGTTTGCTCTCAATTCCTTTAACTGCATGAACTGTAGGAGGCAGTCACATTGGTTTAATATTGACTTACTTTAATCCCTGACCTTATCATATCCCAAAGTGAAAATAAGTACTCAAAGGGTGCAATAGAAGACTAGTTAAGAGGAAATAATGAAGGCTTCTACACAGCAATGTGGAAATAATTCAGGACATATTGTTTATATTTCATATGGACATGGTGGCTGCACAAATGGTCAAACGTGCAAAATTAAAGGTATTCAGTACTAGCTGCATCTGCAAATAATGTCTGTTGGCGAAACTCTACTGCAAAAGCAAAAACCCATGCTCTTCTTAGTCTACAAATTTCAAGTAAAGAGCTGGAAGGGATTATGAGAGAGGTACTACTAAAATTTGTTTTGTCAGTCTGCCCTCAGCAATCAATAACCCCAGAATTGTTTTTCTGGTTGCTTTTATCAATTCAAGAGATAGAGGAAAAACCTCCACCCCAAATACAAACCCACTCAAAAAAGAACGAAAGGAGAAGATGACAATTACAAATGTATATGCAAAGAGCATAGCTAGTTTTTCCATTTTGCTGATATACAAGAGCTGCTTTGAAAGTAATGCCTCTACATGTGCATCCTTCCATACATGCAGAAACCTGAAAGCACCACAACTCCATACGAACACTGATTTCCAAGTCTTTGCCCCATTTGCTACCTACTATCATTTAAAAGCATTATTAATCTTTATTACTGTTAGCTATTTTATAATATTTCCTAGCAGCCCTTTCTCATTTTTCTCAAGATTTTAATCTCTGTGCTTTATTTATGCATGTTAATAGTGTAAATCGTATATATGATACATATTTACTGCCTTCAGATTGTAGCATCTTCTACCTCATATTTATATGGGGCATTCTAACAAAGGGGTATCTTCAATGAATGCAGTATTATGAAAATCTGCCACTTGTTATAAGGAGGAGCTGTTTCATGTTGTCTCCACACTGAAGTTTTACATCATCTCTGGTGGATACTTAACATACTGTATTACAATAGATGCTATATTCTATGAATGAGGAAGTGTGACTTTTTCAGACTCCACTATAATTGATTTTTAGAGCATAGTGTCAAATTTGTTTTAAAATTGTTAATTTGTTTTAAATGAAATTGTTACAGATAACTTGAAGGTTCCTGAATACAAATACTGAAATCACATTTGCAGCTCACACAAGATGGTGCTACAGTGCTACACACAGACCATGATACTAAAATCATCGAGATTTATGAGTATGCATACTGGATTACACTGTGGAAATTCCTTAATAAGTGGTATCTGAATACACACAGCAACCTTCTATAAGCACAGTGGTCAAAACAGAACTACAGAAATTTTGGTTGAAGATCTGTTACTGTGGTAGCCAGCACAGATATCACTGTTTTTGTAGGACAGGGACACTGGCTACGTTTATACTAATTAGCTGAAGAGTGCAAGAGCCTTTGACATTGAGGCCAGCTGGCAGAGACCAGACATACACGTAATAGTAAATGTTAAAGCCACATCCAACCTACAGTCTTCTAGACTAAAGTAACTCCTCAATGGCATCCATTAATTCTCTTGGAAAGCGCTAGGTGAGAATAATGTGAAGGAACTTTCAAAGAACATAACCATATTGGTAACTGAGTTATAGTGCTTGGACCAACACTGCTTAATTTACTACTAGGTATAGATATTAATTTCACATTCTAATTTATATGATGATCACATTGTCACACTGATGCTGAATAATGTGCAGAATTATACTAAAAATGTAAAATGCTGCTTTTGGCCACTGACACAGTAATAAAACTGAAATAATTTTCAAGTGTTTGAGGTTAATTGTGAGTTTGCTAGATATCCACCTTGAAAAATTAGTTGTTAGCAATTACAGAACTAGCAGGATCTTTGTGGGTCTTGTGTGCGCCTGTACAATAAAACCTATAAGTGAATTAACACAAACTATTTCTGCTGGATTTGAATTCACCTAAACCATAGTAAGGGAGCTTGCAAAATAATAGCCCCATGATTCAACTGTCATTCCAGATCAGTCGACTGACCAAAGATACTGATGACTGAGAGAGTACTAAGAGGGTAATCAGTGATTGTCCATCTATTATGCATTTTCCTTTTGGATGTTGAAACTAGATGATCTTTAAGGTCTCTTCTAATCCAAGCCACTCTATGATTCTATGATTCGATAAAATCTCTGCTTCGATAAACGAAATGTGGGTCTGTTTTTTATTGAAGCTGGAACAATGTAAAACAGTTTTCATTGGTAGGCAAAATACCGTATGAAAGTGCAATAGTCTAGGGGGCAGTTTTGCTACTAACTGGGGCTGTTTAGTTTGGGGAAAAGGAGGCTGAGGGGAGACCTTATTGCTCTCTTCCAATATCTGAAAGGTGCTTACAGCAAGAGCAGGTTTGGTCCCTTCTCACTGGTGACAGGTGACAGGACGAGGGGAAATGGCCTCAAGTTGCACCAGGGGAGGTTTAGGTTGGATATCAGGAAACACTTCTTTACAGAAAGGGTTGTTAAGTACTGGAATAGGCTCCCCAGGGAGGTGCTTGAGTCACCATCCCTGAACGTGTTTAAAAATCGTTTGGATGTGGTGCTCAGGGACATGATTTAGTGGAGATTTGTCAGATTTAGGGTAGTATGGTTAGGTTGTGGTTGGGCCCCAGATCTTTAAGGTCTTTTCCAACCTGTGAATTCTATAATTCTATGATTTTTCCTTGAAAGTGAATAATCTTTATACCTCGCTCAGAATTTTTGTACAACTTGTATAAGCTAAAGCTTTTGTCGCTTAAAATCAAACTGAATGAATAACACATTCAACATACTAACTTCTACTTCCTTTACATTATGTAAAGAAACAGGGAGAAGTGACTGGAACTGCCACACAATATGCTCAGGTTGGATGAGTTTCCAGCATTAGAGATGACAGAAGTCATATGCTGCTAGAATAAATGCTCTGTTAGAAAGTATCATCTTACAGAGAAGCTCAAGTAGAGTTCTTGTTGGTTAAATGGACACCTAGATAATTAAGCAACCACATGAACTCTGCTTGTTCTGTAGAAATTAAAAAACAAAACAAAACATCAACAGACAAAATGATGGAAAACAAAGAATCTAGGCAGAAGCAAACATCTATGCTTTGAAAAACAAGTATATCAAGTGACACAAATATTTGTTACCACTAGTATATAGTGTTCGCAGGGACTGAAAGCCTCAGCTATTGCTTGTGAACTTAAGATGAGAGCTGTAACAGTGAACAGATGCAAATTTCAATGGTTCACCTACTACGGAACACACTGGGCTTTTATTAGAAAGGACTATTATTGTGTTTATAATAAAAATTCATGAAAAAATATAAAGTAGGCTGAAGAACTAGGTTAATTTTCTGGTTCTGCAAATGTTTGAGTAAAAAATTACTCTGGTACGAGCTGGTGCAAGCAGCAATGAGGATTTAATTGGTTTTAGTGGCCATCTTTAGCAAATGACTTGGAGACTACATCTGCTAAGATACAATTTTAAATGTAGATAGTGTGTGTATACATAGATTGAACACAACAAACTGATGCTTGCCCCAAACTACCATATTAAAAAGGAAGACTATCACCCGTTCCCAAATGGACATGCTAAACAGTAAGACGATCATTAATTTGATTCAACAGCAACAGAAAATCTTCACAAAGATTTTTTAAACAAAGAAGTCACCTTAAGTATAAAAGCAACAAGAAAATTTGCAATAGCAGGGAGAGAGTTTGGACTGGAAACAGCAGAATTCAAAATCCAACTCGATTCCACCAGAAGCCGCCTTGTTGGCATCAACTCTGTTCAGGCCAGATTGAGCAGCCTTGTCATTGATACTACGACTATCCTGCACTCATCTATGGGGGTGACAGCATAGGTGCAACTAGTAAAGGTGTATCACTTTGTGCACACCTGGCCTTATGGTGGGGCTTTCTTGCCAACTTACATATCAGTGGGTGGTAGTAGGGGCCTGCACAAACACACACACACAACACCCACATCTCCAACAGGAGGTGTAGGAAAACATACACTTGTGTACTTCATGTGCGTGAATACCTGTAAATGCAATTAACAATCTGGATGGTTAATCATAGAAGAGCATTTAGGACTTTGA